TATATGCATGAAAATGTTACACATCGTCTTTAGCCTAAACTTCTGTATTCAAATTAGTCATGAATATATATATATATATATAGAATAAAAACATAAATTTTTCAGATCGTCCGCTAGGCCTTTCTGCCTTCTAGGGCTTCTTCAGGCGGATTATATATATATATATATATATATATATGGGGCAAAGAAGTAATTCCAACAGTGTGGACAAGTTTAGGTTGTCAAATTTTCGGAGCAATCCGTTCCTTTATCAAGACACAGTGAAACAGAACAGTTACATGTGCATACACATCATATATATATATATATATATATATAAATACATACATAAACAAAACACTGAAGACTTAACCTCACTAGTATTTTCACCAAGATTGACAAAAATACTAGTGAGATATAGCTTTGGGTTTTTAGCTCACCTGCCCGAAGGGCCAAGTGAGCTTATGTCATGGTGCGGTGTCCGGCGTCCGGCGTCCGGCCTCAATATTTTACTTTAAACAACTTCTTCTCAATAACCAAAAGGCCTATTTGGCCAGTAGCATGCTGGGATGAAGGGCTACCAAGTTTGTTCAAATGAATGACCTTGACCAACTTTCAAAGTCACAGGGGTCAAATGTCTTAAAATCCTCAAACAACTTCTCAATAACCGAAAGGCCCAGGACACTGATATTGGGCCTGTAGTACTGAGTTTGTCCAAATAAAAAAACCTTTTAACAACTTCTTCTGAAAAACCAAGAGGTATAAAGTGATGATATCTTGCCAGTAACATGTTCAGATGAAGGGCTACCAAGTTTGTTCAAATGAATGACCTTGACTTATATTCAAGGTCACAAGGGTTGAATATGTTAAAAACCTTTAAAAGAACATCTTATAAATAACCCATGAGGCCTAGGTTGATGATATTTGGCCATTAACATGCTGGGATTAAGGACTATCAAGTGAATGACCTTCGCCCATATTCAAGGTCACAGTGGTCAAGATATGTTGCATGCTATTTCTTATGGTAGTGCTTACAGAGGAACTTACAGTGGAAATGTAGATTACAGTTGAATGTCAAATGTGTATGTTAAATACCTGGTCCAAATTACAGGTAAATGACTGCAGGACTAGAAGCTAGCTAGATCTAAAATAAAGTAGAGCAGGTCGGGAAAGTGGAGAAACAGATTTATCTTACGCTAATGTTAACATGGTGATGCATTTTTACGAGCTGAAACGTAAGAACACTGACCTCCAGGTGTAATAACAGTGTGACCTTCCTTCAGGTAAATCATGGTGTGCAATGAGGCATGACTCATCACTGTTGCAAGTCTACTCGCTCAGTGATCACATGTTGAGATCTTATCCTAGTGTGGTGGTCGTTTCCCACCTTTTTATCACATTTGTACAGATTTATACTTGATACAACAAGGCCACTGAAGCATAAACGTGAAAAAGCCTGCTATATCAAGTCACCAAAATTCAGTAAAGTAATAATGTGAGATTAAATATATAATTGTGAATAACTTATTCAGAATAAAGATAACCTGGGGTTTGATATGGACATGGTCTATGTACAGGGAATACAGTACTGTAAATGGGACTAACTGTTACAGGGAATAAAGTACTGTGATCAGGGCTTCCACTGTTACAGGGAATACAGTACTGTAAATAGAACTGTAGCTGTTACAGGGAATATAGAATTGTAACTAGGGTTTTGGCTGTTACAGGGAATACATAACTGTAAATAGGGCTTTAACTGTTACATAATTGTTACAGGGAATACAGCACTGTCAATGAGTCTAACTGTTACAGGGAATACAGTACTGTAACGTTGGCTTTAACTGTTACAGGGAATACAGTACTGTTACTAGGGTTTTGGCTGTTACAGGGAATACATAACAGTAAATAGGGCTGTAACTGTTACAGGGAATACATAACAGTAAATAGGGCTGTAACTGTTACAGGGAATACAGTACTGTAAATGGGACTTACTGTTTAAGGAAATACAGTACTGTAAATAGGGGTAACTATTACAGGGAATACAGTAATGTTAATAGAACTGTAGCTGTTACAGGGAATTCAGTACCGAAAATAGCACTTTAACTGTTACAGGGAATACAGTACTGTAAAATAGGACTTTTGCTCTAAAAAGGAATATAGAATTGTAACTAAGGTTTTGGCTGTTACAGGGAATACATTACTGTAAATAGGACTTTGGCTGTAACAGGGAATATAGTATTGTAACTAGGGTTTTGGCTGTTACAGGGAATACAGTACTGTAACTAGGGTTTTGGCTGTAACAGGGAATACATTACTGTAAATAGGGCTGTAACTGTTACATACTTGTTACAGGGAATACAGCACTATAAATGAGTCTAACTGTTACAGGGAATACAGCACTGTAAATGAATCTAACTGTTACAGGGAATACAGTACTGAAACTTGGGCTTAAACTGTTACAGGGAATACACTACTGTTGATTGAACTGTAACTGTTACAGGGAATACAGCACTGTAAATAGACTTGGGTTTGTTACAGGGAAGACAGATCCACAGACACGTACAATGATGTTTGGCTATGTATTAGCCCTGGCATATATTATTATGTGCTTTGGAGGGGAAGACTATATATAAAGATTGAGAGTTAGGAGGAACCCCACCTCTCTAAGATAATGGTTGTCTTAGGGTCGGTCCTCGAGGAAATGTTTTACTTCCTAAAAGCATCTCCGGAGATACTTGTAGTGTTTTCATGATCTGCCTTTATTCCTCATTTGATTAATTAAATAACAAAAATGAAATTCTGAATTGATTTTTTTTGTATGTAATTGATTGTATAAATTTTTTTTGTATGCATACACATTAAAAAGATTTCCGTTCTAACTATACCCCCACCATAAAATGTTGGCAGTGTCCGTCCCATCCCATTGTGATACAATGTAATTAACACCCTAGCCCTGCTGCAATTTCGTTCTTTGAAGAATTTTCATCAAGCTTTAAAAAATGTCAATAGTAAGCCAATATGTCAGATTAGTTTGTGTTCAAGGATTTCAAGGTCAAGGCCAAGGTCACCATTGTTATTTATAGAAACCATTAGTCGTCGGTTATAACCCACTTTGTTTCGTGATGAATTTTGATAAAACCTTTTACAAAAGTCAAGTTAATGAGATTTCCTCTGACATCTCTTGTGTTTTAGGGTCCCAAAAATAAGGCTAAGATCAATGTCTCTGTATATAGAATATCATCAACTGATTTTGTCTGGTCTAATTAAAATTCGATCTTTTCATCGCTCCTGTTTACTGATATGTTGTGTGGAAGATCTAGCAACATCCCATTAAGGGTCACGTTCACGCGACCTTCGCATTAACCATCAGATGAGAGCTTAATTACATATATCTGTGAGTTATGAGAGCTTAATGACATATCTCTGTAAGTGATGAGAGCTTAATTACATATCTCTGTAAGTGATAAGAACTTCATAACATATCTCTGTGAGTGATGAGAGCTAAATTACATATATCTGTGAGTGATGAGAGCTTAATGACATATCTCTGTAAGTGATGAGAGCTTAATGACATATATCTGTAAGTGATGAGAGCTTAATTAAGTATCTCTGTAAGTGATAAGAGCTTCATTACATATCTCTGTAAGTGATGAGAGCTTAATTACATATCTCTGTAAGTGATGAGAGCTTAATTACATATATCTGTAAGTGATGAGAGCTTAATTACATATCTCTGTAAGTGATGATGTAATGATATTAGATCAAACTGGCCACAATTACAAATGTGTAAGGCAAAGGGGGTGGGAATATTGATGTCGACTTCTCTGCCTTTCCTTCCTACAACAAACACATTTTCTCATTGTTGGTCTTGTATCAATGCAAAGGTATGTTATCATGTCATTTCAACAAGACTCAAAATATGATACGTATCATGGTAATTCATTAAAGCCCAGAGCCCTGGCTTGATAGACTCTGGTTTGTTAAAAGGAACGAATACAGTACTAGAGATATTCTGGTTTAGAATGTCTCCCCATCGAATGAAGGGAGACATATTGTATTAGTACTGGTTCTTCTTCTGGTTCTTCTTATCGCAACTTGTCCGGGCCATACATTTTAAACCGGATATCTTGATCAAACTTGAAGTATATCTGCATCACCTACAGAAGGTGTGCAGTGCACTGGAATTAGGTCTCTTCCCTCACTATACACAGAGTTGTGGCAATTTGTTTATTTTCAATACAGAAGTTTGTCCTGAGGATAAGTTCCATGCTATTTCACCTACGTTGACCAAACTTACCATATTTATGTATCTTGGAAAGGTGGAATCTCTTGCACTGAAATCGGGTCTCGTGCCTCACTTAATACAGAGTTATGGCCCTTTGTTTATTTTTAATACCGAAGTTTGTCCACGGCGTGTTTTTTTATACCAAAGTTTGTCTGCAGCATAACTTCTATGTTATTTCTCCTATTTGACCAAACATGCTATATTTATGTATCTTGGGAAGGCGGAAAGTCAAGTACTGAACATAACCCTGATCTACGCATAATCGATCGTAGATACAGTTATAATTATTTGACTATTAAGGGGAGACTTATGTTTTCTTCACAGTTTGTCACACCAAATACAGTAATATGAATAGACTTCAGTTTTCTCAAAATAGATTATGCTTTACTTTAAATATACCGGTTTACTATAAACAGAATGGTTTACTGTAAATATGCTGAAATACTATAAATAGACTGGTTTACTATAAATAGACTGATTTACTATAAATAGACTGGTTTACTATAAATAGACTGATTTACTATAAATATGCTGGTTTACTGTAAATAGACTTGTTTACTATAAAAAGGCTGGTTTACTATCAAAAGGCTGTTTTACTAGAAATAGACTGGTTTACTATAAATTGGCTGGTTTACTATAATTAGACTTGTTTACTATAAATAGACTGGTAAACTATAAATAGACTGTTTTACTATAAATAGACTGGTGTACTATAAATAGGCTTTGTTTGTTACAGGGAATACAGAACTGGAGACTGGTGTTGTTATTGTTCCTGGACCACCCGCTATCATTGTAGAGCGGCGCAGCCCATTTCTCCTCAACTGTTCTGCTTTCTCAAGTCCAGGATTTGGGCAAACAAGTTATCGATGGACACGGAACAAGGTTAAGGTCACCTTAAACAAACGAATCCAAATGGTTGAGAATGGCTCGCTGTATTTCCAACACTTAAAGCGGAAAAAACGTGATGAGGGACTGTACGAGTGTTTTCTTAACAACAGTAAAGGTGTTGTCATAGGACGACGGGTGATGGTCAAAGTGGCAAGTAAGTATAAGTCTCAACTTCACTAATGCAGGCCCAAGAGGCCTCTTGACGTATTTTATAGTCAACAGCTACCCTACAGCAATACAGGTCCATCAGGCCTCTTGTTGTAGTTTTAAGTCAGCAGCTACCCTACAGCAATGCAGGCCCATCAGGCCTCTTGTTGTAGTTTTAAGTCAACAGCTACCCTACAGCAATACAGGTCCATCAGGCCTCTTGTTGTAGTTTTTAGTCAGCAGCTACCCTACAGCAATACAGGCCCATCAGGCCTCTTGATGTAGTTTATAGTCAACAGTTACCCTACAGCAATACAGGCCCATCAGGCCTCTTGATGTAGTTTTAAGTCAACAGCTACCCTACAGCAATACAGGCCCATCAGGCCTCTTGTTGTAGTTTATAGTCAACGGCTACCATACAACAATACAGGTCCATCAGGCCTCTTGAAGTATTTTATAGTCAACAGCTACCCTACAGCAATACAGGCCCATCAGGCCTTTTGATGTAGTTTTAAGTCAACAGCTACCCTACAGCAATGCAGGCCCATCAGGCCTCTTGTTGTAGTTTATAGTTAACAGCTACCCTACAGCAATACAGGCCCATCAGACCTTTTGATGTAGTTTTAAGTCAACAGCTACCCTCCAGCAATGCAGGCCCATCAGGCCTCTTGATGTAGTTTTAAGTCAACAGCTACCCTCCAGCAATGCAGGCCCATCAGGCCTCGTGTTGTAGTTTATAGTCAACAGCTACCATTCAACAATACAGGTCCATCAGGCCTCTTGTTGTAGTTTTAAGTCAGCAGCTACCCTACAGCAATACAGGCCTATATAAGGCCTCTTGTTGTAGTTATAAGTCAATAGATGCAATACAGGCCCATATAAGGCCTCTTGTTGTAGTTTTTAGTCAACAGCTACCCTACAGCAGTACAGGCCCATCAGGCATCTTGTTGTAGTTTTTAGTCAGCAGCTACCATACAGCAATACAGGCCCATCAGGCCTCTTGTTGTAGTTTTAAGTCAGCAGCTACCCTACAGCAATACAGGCCCATTAGGCCTCTTGTAGTTTAAAGTCAGCAGTTTTCCAACAACAATACAGGACCATTAAGCCTCTTCTTTCACATGATGCAATACTGGCCAATTTTGCCTCTTGTCAAGGCAAGAACGCTCACCGACAGTAATTAATACAGGCCAATTGTGTCCCTTATGTATAAGCTCTCACCTTCTGTTGCATAGGTAGAAGTGTTCAATTTCATATCTAGATTACTGGCCAGCAGGCAGATTTTGATAAATAATGCTAGCCCGACCTATGTTTTCATAGTAAATATTGAATATTTGCACATTTGCATATGGCCGACATCAAATCCACTAGTCCGGGGATTGGGCTTCTTTGAAAATTGTGTTATAATCTGGGGTAGGCACAAAAGATAAGGGTAGCTATAGGTAGGGTGACAGGAAACACAAAATATTTTTTGTCTGGCCTGTTGTTATGCGAGCCCATAATTCAAGCCTCTTACAGTAAATTTTATAACCTTGTCTAGCACTGTCACCTACAACAATACAGGCCTTTTAGGCCTCTTGTTATAATGCTGAAGCTTGGTGTGTCGTAGGCAGCACTTGGGAACAGAAAATATGTGATTTCTCCTACTTGGCTTCGGTATAGTCACCGTTCATAAGTTACTGTGTTTATATATTAATAGGTTTAACATATATTGTGAGCCAAACAGTTTTTACATAATTACCTTCTCATCAGGCAGAGCAAATCAGTCAAGCGTAACAAATTGCACATTACTTTTACAAGAAAAAACATTTTAATAACATTACAGTTTTGATGGACATAATTTTTTTTTAAGTCTGATGTTCATCCAATAATTCCGATCAAAGTAACACAAATATAATTTAGCTAAAAATATACAGTAATTATACTGTTCTTAGTAAATGTGATTTATAATAGGTCCTAATTCTTCTAACCAGCGCAAAAAAACTTAAAATTCAAATCTGAATTGTCAAGAAATAGGAAAAAGGGACTAAAATAGTTTGAAATGAGTGATTCAGTCATTATATCAAGAATTTACTGTATCTGCTGGTTTCAGTCATCTGTCCAGCACTACAATTTAATTCTCTTTAAACGGAGGGGCCGTGGTGGCAAAGTGGTTAAGGCGTCTGACATTCTGCTACCACTTGCCCTCCACCAGTGGGTTGTGGGTTCGAGACCTACATGGGGCAGTCGCCAGGTACTGGCCCTAGGTCGGTGTTTTTTTCTCCGGGACCTCCGGCTTTCCTCCACCACGAAAACCTGGCACGTCCTAAATTGACCATAGCTGGAAGTAGGATGTAAAATAAAAACAAACCAAACCAAATTAAACGACCTCCTCTGAATAACCATGAGTCCTAGAACCATATCACCCAGGAGCAGGCAGGGATAAAGGGCTATCAAATTTGTTCAAATGGATGACCTTGAGCCACTTTCAAGGTCACAGTGGTCAGATAGGTTGAAATCTTTCGATTTTTTCTTCTGGATAACCAAGAGGTCTATAAAAGGTCATGTTATTTGGCCAGTATCGTGCTGTGGCAGAAGGATCACATTCAAAGTCACAAGGTTCAAATGTGTTAAAGCTTTCAACAGTACTAGAAAGGGACATTTGTTCAAATGAATTGCCTTTTGGTAAATAATCGCAAGGCCAAGGGTAATGATATTTCGACCGCAGCACGTTGGGATGATGGGATTTCAAGTTTAAAATAAAAAAGAGAGTCGTAGCCCATGACACCTTTTTTCGCAACAAATATAAGAAAAGTAGATATTGAATTCAGTACTTTAAAGTTTTGATGATGCAGAAGGTACATTCTACAGAACATTCATTGACAAGCCTTGTTGTAGCCAGCTGTAACAGGCTTTGCAGCAGCTAATACACTCACTGGTAGTTGATATATGTTCATGACAAGAATCGTGTTGTTTAAATTTACAGCTTAGAAGGGCACACAAAATGTCATAAAAACGTAAATAGTTGTAACGGACACGTTTTTTTATGACACTTTCATTTAGACTTGGAGCAACAGCTCTTTAAATAATCTGTGTAATTTTTGTTCTAGACCACACGAAAATCCCGCAGCTGTTTCACTATCGGGAAATATTTTTAGGTTGAAAAATGGTTGGAGATTGAAAATTGCAGGTTTTGTTCTGTTAAAAAGTTAGAAAAAAGAGTGACTTTTAAAGTCACAGTGGCCATATATGTTAAAACCTTGAATGACTTCTATAGATACTGACTAACAATTAGTCCGGTAAGCTTCTATAGATACTGAATAACAATTAGTCCAGTAAACTTCTATAGATACTGAGTAACAATTAGTCCAGTAAACTTCTATAGATACTGAGTAACAATTAGTCCAGTAAACTTCTATAGATACTGAGTAACAATTAGTCCAGTAAGCTTCTATTGATACTGAATAACAATTAGTCCAGTAAACTTCTATAGATACTGAGTAACAATTAGTCCAGTAAACTTCTATAGAAACTGAGTAACAATTAGTCCAGTAAGCTTCTATTGATACTGAATAACAATTAGTCCAGTAAGCTTCTATAGATACTGAATAACCATTAGTCCGGTAAGCTTCTAAAGATACTGAATAACAATTAGTCCGGTAAGCTTCTATAGATACTGAATAACAATAAGTCCGGTAAGCTTCTATAGATACTGACTAACAATTAGTCCGGTAAGCTTCTATAGATACTGAATAACAATTAGTCCAGTAAGCTTCTATAGATACTGAATAACAATTAGTCCGGTAAGCTTCTATAGATACTGAATAACAATTAGTCCGGTAAGCTTCTATAGATACTGAATAACAATTAGTCCGGTAAGCTTCTATAGATACTGAATAACAATTAGTCCGGTAAGCTTCTATAGATACTGAATAACAATTAGTCCGGTAAGCTTCTATAGATACTGAATAACAATTAGTCCGGTAAGCTTCTATAGATACTGAATAACAATTAGTCCGGTAAGCTTCTATAGATACTGAATAACAATTAGTCCGGTAAGCTTCTATAGATACTGAATAACAATTAGTCCGGTAAGCTTCTATAGATACTGAATAACAATTAGTCCGGTAAGCTTCTATAGATACTGAATAACAATTAGTCCGGTAAGCTTCTATAGATACTGAATAACAATTAGTCCGGTAAGCTTCTATAGATACTGAATAACAATTAGTCCGGTAAGCTTCTATAGATACTGACTAACAATTAGTCTGGTAAGCTTCTATAGATACTGAATAACAATTAGTCCAGTAAGATGCTAAGAACAATGATTTTCTTGTTCTAGGGAATGACCTTGACCACATTCAAGGTCACAAGGGAAAATGTGTTAAACTTTTTAAAACATTTTTTTCCCAGAATAGTTGCCAAGACACAGGGTCGTGATATTTGGGCTAGTAGAGTGTAGGTTGGATGGTTATCAAAGACACTTTTCAAGATAACATATCAAATTCTGTCTAAATATTCCAACAAAGCCTCAGGAGGTATCAGTTATGAAATCTCCCCAAAAATGACTAAATTTTCATTGATCCAGTTTGAAATTCAGAGACATAAAATCAATAACAGCGATACAGGCCCATTGGGCCTCTTTTTTTTACGGTATTATAAATTAATGATTATTCACTGACTGCCACACATCATAAACATGTCTTTCTTTAGATGAATTGTGAAATACTGTTTGGTTGAACACTGCAGCTCGTTTGATAGGCTGAACCGTGTGTATTCCTAGCACCGAATGCTGATGATATTAATATAGAAATTCTAAACAGGCAGTATAATCATTGTGAATTTGTTCTCCTCCATCCATTCTGTTATATTGATCAATTCATGCAACATTCAGTGTGCAAGTCAAACGTGAACAAGGGCGCCATTGATCTGGCCTCAGATTCAGGGGCTCCCTCAAGCTATACATAAAATTTGCATGACTAGAAAAAATGTGCATATGACATGAATTGATTTATATGCAAACGTCTTCTACAATGAACTAGAGGCCAGCGTCTGTCCATATTTACATAGATCTGTGTAATTGTTTTGATATATTTCACAATATTTGCCAATATGTATTAGGCCCTTTTCATAATTCCTTCTGAAATATTTGTCCCCCCCCCCAACCTGAAATAAAAATATAATAAATGAAGTGATCTGCTATTTTCCACATGTAATAGCTTTTGTACTTTTTGATTGGTTGCAATGTTGGCCCTATGTAATATGGAGTTAATACTGGCATGGGACTGAAGATTTTCAGGCCAGCTAGAGTTTAGGGTCACATAGTCTAAACAGAATAGTGAAAATATTGTCAAAACTATTTATACCTACAAAATCTGCAGGAGACAAGAAAATGTGTAATTATCATAGTAGCATACCAAAGGTAAAACATACCACAGGTAAAACATACCACAGATAAAACATACAACAGGTAAAACATATCACAGGTAAAACATACCACAGGTAAATCATACCACAGGTACAACCACAGGTAATATACACCAAAAACATACCACAGGTAAAACATACAACAGGAAAAACATACCACAGGTAAAACATACCACAGGTAAAATATACCACAGGTAAAATATATCACAGGTAAAACATACCACAGGTAAAACATATCACAGGTAAAATATATCACAGGTAAAACATATCACAGGTAAAATATACCACAGGTAAAACATTACAGGTAAAATATACCACAGGTAACACATACAACAGGTAAAATATATCACAGGTAAAACATATCACCGGTAAAACACAATGTGTGCACAATTTGGTAAGTGTATGATAGAAAGACTCTCAAATTCATTCAATTCCATCAGACTTCTTGAAAAACCAGTCGAGTGCTTTAAACTTAAATGCTGATGCTTGACTGTCCAGTGCTCGTTCCTTATTGAGGCTGGATAGTCCAGTACTCCTAACCTCAATGCAGCAATTAATGAAATAATATCTGAGCTAACTTGCTTTATAATGAATTTTTGTTCTGTTCAGGAATCGCCAGCAAGTTTACCAAGATGCCCACCAATCAGGTGACTGTTGTGGGGGGGGTGGCCCGATTTGAATGCAAGATAGACGCCACGCCCCCTCCAGTGTTTATATGGGAGAAAGACGATGCTAGCCTTCCTCTCAATAACAGGTAAACCTCGCCATGCACAGTTGCTACACAGTTAAAAGGGAGGTAATTTCGGAATGTTAACTTAAGTTTTCAATATCGAGTACAGTAAAACCTTGTTATACTGCCAACATTTTCCCCAGGGATTTTGGCATTATTAAAGGGGGTTTGGTAATAAATGGCAGGAATGTTATAAAGGAATTCTTCAGAAAAATTTAAAAAAAAGGACGTTGAAATAGGCTGGTGGTTAGCTGATGTGAAGTGAGTGAAGTTATATAAAGGTTTAACAGTATTTGTTGTTTATATAATTCATCCTTGCCAACTTTTTAAAATTTCCGTGGGGGAGAGTCTGCACGCTCAAAATTAAAACGTAAATAAAATGTGTGTATGCACCCCCCTAGGGTCAAAACAACCCTTGGAAACAGCAAATTTTGAGGGTTTTTTTTCTGGTGAAATCATTAGATCTTAGAACTTAAAACACTAGAATCTTGAACTTTTAGAGTATCCAGTAGTGTTTGACACACTGGTTATATATAGGCACAGGTACAACTCCTAGCGTCTACATTTTGATAGTTTGACTTATCAGCCAGTTAAGGATGCCCGTCTTAATGCAAGCAAAACACTTTTTGTACACACAGTTGTCTCCCCTTAATTTCATTTTGGATATAATACTGAAGTGCAACTAGACTAGAATACTAATTTAATTACTGTAACGATCTAAGGTCAAGGGTTCAAATCTTGGTCTGGCCCCATTGCAAGACTCTTGAATATTTTCCATTTTTCAAAAGTTCTGGAAGGTGTGGTTTATCAAAGGTATTCAACCCCGCAGATCATTTACCGTATTTATCCTACTATAAGCACATGCCGGGTAATAATACCACCCTTGTCAACTACAGTTAAGTAGAAATGTGAAATAATGGTATTTCATTGTCTTAAATAAGCTCGACCCTTACTTTGAGTCAGACACTATGTGTTGGCACTTGGACTTACTATAGGATAAATATGGTAGTAATCCAATAGTTGTTCTTCCCAAATCATTTACCATATTTATCCTGGGATAAGTAGCTACCTGGTAATAACCCCACCCATGTCAAATACAGTTCAGTAGAAATGCAAACCTGCTAAAAGATGGACACCTACCCAAATCATTTACCGTATTTATCCTGCTATAAGCTGGACACCTACTTAGACACTATGTATTGACTCCTGGGCTTACTATACACTATAGGATAAATACGGTAGTAATCCAATAGTTTTTCTCTCCATCCCTCTGTCCGGGCCCAAATCTTTACCGTATTTATCCTGCTATTAGCTGGACACCTACTTAGACACTATGTATTGACTCCTGGGCTTACTATACACTATAGGATAAATACGGTAGTAATCCAATAGTTTTTCTCTCCACCTCTCTGTCCATTACACAAATCCTTTAATTTCCTGTCTATTTCAGGACTACAACTCTCACCACGGGTGTGCTACAACTCCACAACGTCCTTCAGCAGGATGCTGGGATGTACCACTGTTCAGCACAGCACAGTCTCCAGGATATCGCCAATCTACACGAGACGTTCACCTCTATGACTCGGCGCCGCAGTGAGACGGGAATCCTCACTGTAATACCAGGTACGGTATACAGGCTGGCGTGGTCACCTGATCCTGTTTGTTGGGGCCATTCCATTAACTCATTCACCCCTGAAACTTCATAATAAACTATTCCAACCTTTGAATTGGAGGAGGTCAAATGTGTCTGCAAGGGTGAATGAGGGAAAGGGATCCAATTCACTATTGAAAATTAACCCTGTTTTTTCCTCAATTTATTGAGATAAATGCATATAAATATTCTTGATTTTGAAGAAAAACATATTTCATTATATTTTTTTTATTAATAGATTGGATATATTTTTTAAGTGATGAAATGATTAAGTAATGTATTAAGTTCATTCTCTTCCTCCTATTTGAGATTTCATTTGTTGTATGTAATTTGCATCCATCTGATTGTAAAAATCCATAACTTGATCTTGATATCAGTATTTCAACAGCAAAATATACATTCAATATGCATGTATACTGTTTAGTTCATAGTATTCGTGAGGTATTTAATTTTGCTATATTCGCTGTCGAGATAGATTGCGCGAAAATTGAATACCAAGCAATTTTATTTTTTTATTGCTTTGAATTAAACTTCGAAACAAAGTTTGACTCAATATTTAAATATATTGATGGAGTATATAATGTTTTTCAGACAAAGCCCCAAGACCTCCAAGGATTGTGTACGCTACAGATGAGATCATAGCTAACGTTGACGAATCTGTCACTCTCGAATGTCTGGTCGACGGCAACCCAAAGCCCAACGTTACCTGGGTCACACAAAGTAAGGGCTTACGGAACGGGATAATTTATGTAAACGTCGTAACAAATAATCGCCATGTTTGTTAAATTGAAGAGTGTAGCTCGCAGCCACAGAACTTAATTAAAGATAAATATAGTTGAAATAATCTGCTTGTTTTTGAGATTATGCAAAATATGAAGATATTGGAACTGGCAGCATGAAGTTACATAAAGATGTAAGTTATGTTGAGATAATAGCCTTGCTAGCGATAATATTTTTTTAAGATGAGAATTGGGCTAGACAACCTTAATGTACATATAGTGGTAAAAATTTGAACATCCATGTGATCATATAGAAAGAAATAGAACAAAACACCACAGACTAAATCTCGCCCATCGTGGGGCTCTTCAGGAGCGTACAGTGTTTCTCAGTATGATTTGGAGAAAGAGTTTAGATGAATTGGAACTGACCGCTTTCAAAAGTTGTGCCAATTTTTACATTTTTTCAGATGGAAGTGTTGTTATAGAAAACATGTTGAAGATGAGGGTTGGGACCAGCAACCTTAAGCTCAAGAACCTGGTAGTGAAAGATGCAGGGACGTATCGGTGTATCGGCTCCAGTCCGGGCCACGTAGACGCCAGTGCAGAGGTTGTGTTGAAGGTCAGAGGTGAGTTTATACTGAAGGTCAGAGGTGAGTTAATGCTGAAGGTCAGAGGTAAGTTTATGCTGAAGGTCAGGGGTGAGTTTATTCTATAAGACAGAGGTGAGTTTATACTTTAAGACAGAGGTGAGTTTATACTATAAGACAGAGGTGAGTTTATACTATAAGACCGAGGTGAGTTTATGCTGAAGGTCAGATGTGAGTTTATGCTGAAGGTCAGAGGTGAATTTATGCTGAATGTCAAAGGTGAGTTTATACTGAAGGTCAGATGTGAGTTTATGCTGAAGGTCAGAGGTGAGTTTATACTAAAAGTAGTCGGAGGTTAGTTTACACTAAAAGCCAGAGGTGAGTTTATACTGGAGGTCAGATGTGAGTTTATACTGAAGGTCAGAGGTGAGTTTATGCTGAAGGTCAAAGGTGAGTTTATACTGAAGGTCCGAGTAAGGTTTATGCTGAAAGTCAAATAAAAAAAATCATCTCTTACCTTGAAGATGTGACAGGAAATCTCCAATCCAAGGATTGTCTAAACTGAAGCTCTACCTCGGGTGAGATTACCAAATAATCACCCCCAGGTTAGATAATATCCTTAAAGTGGAGGAGAATTCTATTAGTTGTAGAGTCTATAGATCTACACAGACGTTTAACTCATTTACCCCTTAAGTTTCATAATGAACTATTCAAACCTTTGATTTGGAAGAGTTCAAATGTGTCTTCAGGGATGAATGAGTTAATTATCATGATTTATTTTCGTTACAGCCCCTCCAGTGTTGGATGGTCATCTGGTCAGCCACAAGGTCCAGAGTGCCCAGCGGATTCGGCTCGATTGTCCCGTGACCGGCAAGCCAAGACCAAAAGTGACATGGTACAGAAACGGAGAGATTCTCATTGCCGAATCTCAAAGCCGCATCTTTGTACGTAGGCCAACTGTAAAATGTTTTAAAACCTAAAAATAGAAAAAAAGTTCAGATTTGAAAAAATGGGAATTTTAAAAGACGAAGGTATTTTGTTCTTCAGGGCAAATTTGCTTCTTAAATGCGTAAGAATTTGGTCTGCCAGATATTGTCAAGTAAATTATTTCACCATTACCATCATATAAAAAGTTTGAATTAAAGCTCAGAATCAAATTTTCCACTTAAAATGCTCAGCAAACCAAATCAATTTTTTATTCAACACAATTACTATAGTCTATTAATAATTAGTAGTTAATGGCTTTCTCACTGCGATAGGTCTTAAAAATAAAGATATTTAAAAAATATTGCCCACAGCCAAAATATAAATCTATCTACAGTTATGATGGATGAAAGAATGTCTCTGATTAGATATTTGATATTTCCGAGTGTTCCAAAAATTGAGGGACACAGTAAAGGGGAATTAATTTTAAAAAGAAAAATATAGATAATAAGGTATGTGTTTATTCCTATAGCACTGGGAAGTGTAAACAGATACAACTGGTAACTTCTTTTGTCTGCCTCTCCCTGTGTAATTCTTCATGTAAAAAGTGAGCAGCATAACAATACAAATAGGATAGATTAATAGAATCATCCCCTACCTTAAGGGTGTGACAGAGAAATCGCCAACCCGGATAATAGAATCATCCCCTACCTTAAGGGTGTGACAGAGAAATCGCCAACCCGGATAATAGAATCATCCCCTACCTTAAGGGTGTGACAGAGAAATCGCCAACCCTCGGGGTGAGGTTTTTTGGTAAGCCAGCCAAAAATATCACCCCTAGGGTTGGAGATTTTTCTGTTACACCCTCAAGGTAGAGGATGATATTTTTGTCCATGCTATTATTTCAGTCACAGCTCATCCGACAGTAGTCTGCCATGTTTGTTAACAAAAACACATGTGGGGTATGCATATCGTCATTCACTTTTGATGACCTCACAATGTTATCAATGACGCATTTTGATGATGTCACAATTGAACATGTGCTAATCGGCACAAGGCTTTCTCCCCCTAGGGGATGACAAGCTGATCTTTCCCAGCTAAAACAGGAGACACCTAAGATGTGTGGGAGACACACCTGTGATGGGTGGGAGACACACCTGTGATGGGTGGGAGACACACCTGTGATGTGTGGGAGACACACCTGTGATGGGTGGGAGACACACCTGTGATGGGTGGGAGACACACCTGTGATGGGTGGGAGACACACCTGTGATGGGTGGGAGACACACCTGTGATGGGTGGGAGACACACCTGTGATGGGTGGGAGACACACCTGTGATGGGTGGGAGACACACCTGTGATGGGTGGGAGACACACCTGTGATGGGTGGGAGACA